TGGATGTACAAAGGCTGCTGCATGAAAGGTCTTCATCACACGCTGTCAATATGAAGAATACTTTGTTCTGTAGTAGTGGACTAATATGCCAAAACACTTTCCAAGAGTAAAATTAGTCTTGTACTTAAATGTGCAACCTAACAACTTGGGTGGCCTCTTTGAAGGAAGAAACAATTGATCTGCACACAGAAAAACCTGTTTACCTTTTTCCTTGGCCAAGGATGCTTAGTATGTGACAAAATGTCTTGCTCCAAAAGTTTTAAGCAAAATTAAAAATGCGAGCTAAGGAAGCAGTCTGCTTTGGCCCTGTTCCTGTATGAGGCTGGGAAATTTCTCAATTCATATCTTATTGAAAAGCAGCTTTCCACCATACCAGATACTCAGTTTTACACTTTTTGAATGGCTAAATCTTTTGAGCTGCCTCTGTAGTCTGGATAAAGCAGATCTTGATTATTCTCCTTCCCCCACGCCCCCTTCTCCCCCATTTATAGAACAATTTTTAAGAACAAAACCTTTAAGCATGCAGGTTTGTAGGAATCCATGCTTACATGTATCAAACTGACGTACTAAATCCATGTGCAAGTGAAAACACTAAACTCTTGCCTAACAAACCTCAGCTGCTGGAACATTCACTGTGACAAACAAGCAGTACCTATTTTAAGTGTTCTTTTTGTTTTTATGTGAATTTTTAGTTGTTGCTCAAGGAAATCTTGCGCAGTCTCTTTCCTGCTCAAAGAAATAAAGCCACAAACAAGGTGTTGTTCATGTTTGCAGAAAATACCATGCTCTAAAATGTTGAAAGTCAAATGGTCAAGATCATCTGGAAGTGGAACATCCGTTTTGTAAAACCATCAGTTTAGGGAGTTGGTCTGCTTCTGCTTTTGTTGAAATGTTGATCTTCAGAAGTCCTCTTACTGAAAGACCCCCAGGAAATGTGAAGAAAACTTGACACTTTAAGGACTTTGTATTCCATTACTTCCTTTAATTATTATTTAAATCAAAGATGGTACTAAATTAGTAGTCTGCTCTAATAATAAACTATAGGATTGCATTGTAACTTCTTGATAGAGCAGTCCTTAAAAATGGAAGACTTTACATCATGACTACAATAAATGTTCATGGTCTAGTTGATCATTCATCCTTCTCCAGATTTGCATGTCAATAAATAATCCATGACTAGATTACTTAAAGTGACAGAATTTAGTACTGTGCTTTTTAACTTGCTCTTTTTTCTCCATCATTTCACTTCTAAATCTAGTCAAGAGCCTTCACTTTTTTATTGTAATGGCAAAGGCTACTTCACTGCGGTCCTCTTGAAAGAAAATGTATCTTGAGTGGATGCATGTTTCCCTTATGAGAAGCAAGTGCAGCCTTATTGATGTTTTCATCTGGCATTGCTCTTCTTGTAATGCAAGAACTAGTGGTACAGTCAGTAAAATACCATACAGTAAAATAGCAGCACATTGAGTGCCTAAATACAGATAAATAAGAAAACTTAATCTGCAGTTATCAACTTGCATGTGCCTGCTGTGCCAAAGAGTCATCCTTCCTGTCTCAAAAATGGAAAAAAATGCTGATTTGAAAGAGGGAATTCTTCACTTTCATTTTGTAGCAGCAAAAACCTTTCCTTTCCCCACAAGAACTTTGCATTCATAAATTAACCAATTTATTTAGTTTATGAATGTAAGATTTTTCTTTGCTTTGTGTGTCTGTGAAACTGAAAAGCTACAATATTGTGCCACAGCATAACGTTCTGGTCACTGTTTTAATAGCTTTAAAGCATGCCAGCACTAGATACATATATAAATTGTTATACCAAGAATTATATTTTTCTGTGCTTTCCCACCTATACATCTCAGGAGGTTGAAGCATCAAGACTGTAAATACAAATGTCTATTCAAAAAGTTTACTTTTTTCATCATACTTGATTTGATATTTGATGTTACCGAGATTTCCTTTAGGCTTGGAAATATTTATGATTTTAAACGTGTTGGACAGAGGCTGCCTTTCATTTCAGCTGGTTAGAGTGTTTGACAACATTACACTATTTGGATGTGTTCTCCACCGCTCCTTTTCCCTTGCCTGCACTTAATTAGCCATAACATTTAATGAGAAAACTGAGTTTCTTAAAAAGCAGTTCTACCAGTCATTGTCTATTTTTGGAAGACACTCTGGAACCAATGCGGTTGGTCCCGGAGTTATTTCTCAGACCCGCTTGTTTGGGTTTCACTTTTCTTGTAGTTTCACCGATGAAGATGCCATTATTGCAGTATACGATATAAGTTTTTTTGGTTTTTTTCCCCCATTATGCTTCCAGTTCTCTTCTTTCACATTTGCATTTTTGGAAGCACTCTCTAGACTATGTGCTGTGCCATTTATGGGAAGACACAACTCAAAGCGTGGTTCCATTCTAGGCTGGGATCCACTTTCTCAGACCCTGATCAGCATTCTGAGCTGTGATGATTATAGTACCATTTGGGGTACATTTACTGAACACCTGCTTATCCAGTCTAGGGAAATTGTCAGCATCCAGATTGGAAAATAATACACGTTCCTTGTTGATTTCAACTCAGTTTAGAGTATAATGCACTCTTGAAAATAATGTGAACAGTAGTTCTTGGGGTAAATCTTAATCTGCTGCCCTGGATAACTATACTATTGTCAGTCTTTCTTGTGCCAAACTTTAATTTTGGACAAGATATCAGTAGAGCAGCACTGGTGCTAAGATTCCAGTGTTGCTCTCCAGTGGGTTTCTGTGTATCACTTTGATCTTGTTTTATCAAGTGATGACCTTGCTCTCCTTTTGCAAAAGGAAATTCCCCTTTATTTTGACCTGCTTTTGCAGGCTTCCCCGATTTTTGAAAATTTAAGTACGTGTACATGTGAAACATTGTTATGCAGATACATTGCCTTGTTAAAGTTTACTAGTTTATTCTCTGTTATTTTAGTTTCCAGGCTCTCTTCCATGAAGACTACAAGCATCAGTGAACATTTTAACTAACTTCAGTGGTGTGTCTGCTGTCTTTTGGTTGTTTTTACTGTTAATCTTGTAGAACAATTTGCTAGTTTTTGTTTGTGCAAATCAGCAGTAGTGCTAAACTAGTAACAAGTGGATGCTTATGTCATTTGAATAACTGAAATTTCTTTTTAGTAGAAGTAAACATGTTAAGATTGTTAAACCTTTAATATCTGCAATAAATGTTAGAAATAAACAATTTCTGGTTTTGGTGATGTTTTTACTTCTGAACAGTTTGTGGGAGATATGCATCACTTCTTTGGCAATAACAAATCAAACTTGAACTATGCAGCGTCGTACTACTGCGAAATAGGATTTTAGAGTGGCCAAGGGATGGACGCCCCTCTTTACTATTAAATTATCCCTTTGCAAGGCTATTCGTTGGATTATTTCAGAGGTATTTACTTTTTCCTAGGGTTGCAATGCATTCAGCAACAGCACCACAGGAGCCAACAGCACCACACTGGCATTCAAGCCAAAAACCTTTTGGCTTGAATGCCAGTACCATTGTTTCTTAACCAGAATGAGTGCTGCTCTGGTCCCAGAAACTAGGAGCCAGAAATTTCTTTTATTCTTCTGGGGCACTGAGTGGTTTCAAACAAAGCACACAATTATCTTCATATGCTCCATGCATTAATTTAAGAGGGGCAAACCACAGAAAACTGAAGTTTATTAGTAGTGGGTTGCTGTACAAAACTTATCTGAGACGTAAAACTTATTCTTTGTGTGTATTTGATAAAAGATGAGAGCCAAGATCTAAAATCTTTCCCTTCCTCCCTTACTGGCAGCTCCTAGAACTTAGACACTAGCTGACACTGGGCCATATTTTTCCTTTCCTTCGAGAAGTTGTGTATGCAAGGATCTCATCTGGGGAAAAAAGAAAACCTATTTGCTGCTCCTGGAAGATGCATCATTCAGGGAAATAGATAGCATCTATTGTTTGAAAGGTGCAAGAGAATTGCACAGAAATAGATGTTGGACTAATAAATAAAGTTGTTCACACTTTTATGGTCCAATTTAGGTGCTGGTTACTTCTTTCCTATTTATTATAGACATCTATGTGCAAAAAAAAGTCTATCACATGCTTAAATGCTTTGTCTAGACTGAGGTAGCAAGTTTCTCAGATTAAGCATCCGTTATCTTTATTGGAATAATATTCTGTTCTAGTACAGATGGAAGGCAGTTGCGGTACATTTTGTCCAAACTAAGTCTGGATTCATGTGAACATTGAAACATTTCAATTTCCCAGCATTTTCTATTCCTGTAAAAATTCAGGAAGATTCTGTTCCATCATTCATTCAGCACATTTCATGACTGAGAGCGCCTGGCCCCTGGGTTGAGAGCAGTGGTCACCTCCTGAGAAGAGTATGATTAAGGACAGTGGAGTATTTTGGCTTTTGTGACCCTGGATTAGTAGGTCAAATGCTAAATTACAGGAGCTGAAGATGTTTGTGTTCTTGGTATCTGAAGTCACTACTGCTTAAGAAAGCACTAACACAGAGTCTTCTTTGGAGCCTTTTGTGCCAAATGAATGTCTTTCAACAGTTTTGCTATTATCCATATATAGTAGTTATCCAAAGGAAGAGTTTTTGCCTCCGAAAGGCTCACTGTTAAAGGGAAAACAGTATCTGTGTGCTGTCTTTTTGGATATTTAATAAAGTAGATATAAAAGGACACACAGAAGGCAAAGCATCTGTCACTTTGCCCATATGGCTTTGGGGGGAGCAAAAAAGGACCAGCATGAGCAGTAGCTCATTGTAAATAAGGCTTCTAGAGGTGCAGTCAGCTAGCACATGGCATTTGAAGGACTTGCAGGACCTAGTTCAAAAACAGATGTTTTTCCAAAGAAAGTAGGAAGTATTTTTTAAAAGTTTAAGTTTCACTGGGGTGGTGATGGAGTATGGTAGGACAAGATTCACCAGTTTAGCTTTTGAAACCTTATCTGTACTACCTAGTGAGCAGTAAGAAAGAAAAGAGCGGAGTCAAATCTATCAGTCTGCAACTTCCACCTATATTCTGTCCTATTTTTAGTGCTCCTCGGCACTTCTGATGTCCCCGGGCAGTCTCATTGTCATTTCTATGACTCTTTACTATAAATGTGGACAGGATGTAAATACCAGGAAATTCATGCAATTTGAGGTGATGGGATACAATTAACAAGAAAACTTTGTTCAAAACATGACTAGACCTATGTGACAAAGAGAGAAAACACCCTGTCCCAGAAGGCTTAAAGATAAAACACCAAAAGAATGAACTGCACATGGGGGAGAAATGGTGCATTAAGCAAGATGAGCGCTAGGTTTTTGTTCTTGGTGAGTGGATCTAATAAAAGAGACCAGATTTACCCAAAGATCCTTGTCTGCCTGTGTCCTTAGACCAACACCCTGCCGTACAGCAGGTTTGGGGGGATGTTCCTAAGAGTCCAAGAGACTTGCAAAAATCTAGACCTCTTGGGTCAGAGATGATGACTTTTATTTGACCAACTGACACATTGCAAAAACTTTTTTTTTTCCTGCAAGCTTTTGGGCTCAGGGAAAATTCAAGATCGCCCCCATATAGCATCTTGAGCTTTCCCTGAGCCTGATGAAGGCCGAAAGCTTGCAGGAAAATACCATTTTTGGTGCAACGTCTCAGTTGGTCTAATACCGGGTATGGCCTCTGAACCAGGAGTTCTAGGGAGTGGCGGGGGCAGAGCCGGGGGCTTCTCCGGGAAGCCGGCTGCTGGGGCGCTTGTCCCTCTTGCAAGGGCAGCGGAGGGGAGTCAGCTGCTCGGGAGCGGGGGCCGCGATGCGCTGCCCTCCCGGCTCGGCCAGCCCCGGGGCGCAGGAGCTGGGGCACAGCTCCGCCGGGGCAGCAGGCGGC